GAGTAACACATACCTGCGTGAATCGCCATAGACATAAACTTAGAGAAGTAGCTCCGGTTGGAATGTTCTTCCGCAGGATGTGTGCAGTTCTGTTTATTAACCGCTAGAGCGCCAAAAGTTACATAGTGCTGCTTTAATATCAACCTGCAAAAAGACCCAGGTAGCTGTGTTTTAGAACATGGTAGCTGGTTTCCAGTGTTGGGTGTTACGACCCTATAGTTTTGTTGTGTTTTGTTCTGCTGCTTTGTGTGTGTGTCTACCCAGGTTGCTGCTGATTGGTTCCTGCAGACTCATTGATGTCGTACTCTGATTGGTCTTCTCCCCCTTAAAGGAGATGACAGCATTTCCTTCAAGGGGGGGTGGGTGTGGTTGCGGTTGCGGTTGCGGTTGTGGTTGCGGTTGCCATTTTGTGAACATGCTGTTTGTTGGTGCAGTGCTTGTGCTGTTTTCCCTCCCCATTTGTATGCTGAGAGAGATTGTTTGGATATTCATTGTTTTGTGTAACGGTAATCTGGTTTACCCGACCCTTGCCTGTTGTACGATTTTGATTCTGGATTCTCCCTCTGAAGTTGATGTTTCTTTGTAAATATTTGTGGTGAATATTGTACATAGTTATTGGAAAAGTAAGGAGTCAGACGCCATCTTTTGTTTTGTAATGTTTGGATCTGTGTTTTTGGATTAGGTAGTTAGGTTAGAGAATTGTATTTTATTTTAGTTTCTTTACTTCGGATAGGTAATTTAGAGGGTCTTATATTAAGAACGTTTTGTTTATTATTTTGGCACCGTCGGCTCCTAAAAGTGAACTCCCAAATAAATATTGGAAAAATAAGTTGATTGTTCACGCTTGGGTTTTTTCATGTTGCGCTCTACCCCTAGACGGGGCGTAACATGGGGGTAACTCATTACAAGTAATGCGAGTTACGTAATCAGATTACTAGTAAAGTAACGCATTACTTTTTCAAAAAAGTAATGCCAGTTACTTTGTTTTCCCATTTCTTGACTGACAGTTCTCCTGTCCCCATACTGGGAGAAATCAGAAGTGCAGAGGAGTTGTGTGCACTGTGTGAACATGATGCTACTGTAGTTCTAGACTAAATGTGAATGTGCATTAATTCATCCCACTCACAAAAAACAGATTTAGTATTCATCAAAATGAATTAAAACTGTGAAATGCAAACTCAGAATATGACGCAAACCTGCAATAACACAAATGTATCTAATCCCATTTTATTAAACCATATCTTTTGCTGCTGACCGTAAAAAGTAACTAAGTATCGTAATTAGTTACTTTTTTTTAGGGAGTAACACAATATTGTAATGCATTACTTTGTAAAGTAACTTTCCCCAACACTGTTTGAAGCGATAACAATAAATGTTTGACTAGGTAATGATTGGCTTGGGCTAGATAGGCAGAAAAAGTCTTTTTTTTTATTATTAAACATATTGCCTTCGGGAAATTGTCTTTCAATATATGGCGGTTTATATTGGGATAATGAGGAATCTTGTTTAACCCAACATAAATGAAAGACTTGTCATTCAAAAAAGAATGACTATGATTTGTATCTTGAGTTGAGATGTATGGTAACACCTGTATGTTTAACTAACTCACTGTTACGTCAATTACAACATGATTTATTCAGCCAGTGTATATTTTGATGAATAGTCTTCATGTTTCGAGAATTTGAATGGCAATACCTTGCACCTTATTGCCAGATCCACTACCTTGTTTCTCATCAGATAATTTATTGTGGCATCATCTGCCAATTTTATAATGCGTTTAAATGACAGAGCTGCCACCAGTGAGTTACAATAAACATACTCGGTGGCTTTTCAAGTTTAAACCCCAAACAAGCCAGTATGTTTCCATTTTTTACTGGTTGCACTTGCAGGAAGAGTTATGATTGGCCAAAACCAAATTGAATAGAATTACAGCATTGGGAGAATAACTATATTGTCATTAAGTCTAGACATGTGCTTAACTTGGTGTTCTGCATCAGCATGAAAAACCAGAAATGTGGTGTCACCTATAGATCAGATAGATATGATGATAGACATTTTTTTATGTCACTTTACAACCAAAGATTTAAACTCAAACCAATTAGCCAATAAATTAAGTCAACAGTATTTAAGCAAAAATGAATTGTGATTTTGCAGCACAAAACAGAGCTACATGTACCCTCTGATATTACAATGTCACCTTACCTATACTGAACAGACCAGAAAGAGTTTTCATTTGAAACCCCATCAGGGATTTGCCAGTGGCATTTTGTACGCCATAAAAAAGAAAATACCAAATCATTCTGGACAAAAGCCCACAATATGCTAATTTCACTGGTTTAAAAAAAGATACAATTGATTCAAGACATGGGTTAACTAAATGATTCCACTTTGGCTTTCTAGCAAATAGAAAAGGCATTCGTCAAGTAAAGCTGCAGAATTAGGATGGATCAAAGTAGTCTCTCATTTAGAAGCGTGTACACTGGAACATCTGAGAGAATATCCTTGTTCTTGGAAATGTCATTGCTGGGATTACAGAGCTCAAATGTATGAACTCAGCCTGGGAGAGAGGAAATGTGATCATAAAATGGTCTTTAACTCCCTCTAGAGATTAAGAACTACAAGTATTACAATAAAGTAGAAATTTGCATTTATGTTTATGAAAGAAGCCCCTTACTCACCAAGGCTGCATTTATTTGAACAAAACTACAAAAATTACTAATACTGTGAAATATTGCAACATAAAAACTCTTTTCTATTTAAATATATTTTAAAACAATTCATTCTTGTGATGCAACGCTGAATTTTCTTCGGTGTCATATGATTCCTCAGAAATCATTCTAATGTTAATTTGGTGCTCAAGAAACATTTAACAATGCTCTGTTTTTCTTTTCTTTTTTAGGATTCTTTTATGAATAGAAAGTTCAAAAGAACAGCAGGATTTTTTATAACAATGTAAAAGTCTTTGTCACTTGATCGATTTAATACAGCCTTTCTGAATAAAAGTATTACTTTAACAGGAGTGTATCGATAATTGATTAAAATATGAATACAAAACCTCTAGGTATATTTATACTATCCCTGAAGGACAAATGTTGCTTTGAATTAGATATTCAACCATAAGACTTTACCTTTAGAGAACACTTTAAACGTTTGATTGATACAGAATATTACAAGTCACCGTGATTTAAAAATTAAAATACGACATGAAATGTTTTTAATAACTTTATTCTCTTTTTTTTTCAATAGATCTGTACAAACAAAGAATCAAACCTTGTAATGAGTCTGGCATAAACTGACCTGTACATGTCTATGCAGGACTTCTTACACATTTAAATAATCAAATGATTAATTATCTAGCTAAGCAAACGTTTCAAACCATTCCTACCAACAGAGAACAAATGAGCAGACTTTGGAAGGTGGGAGTGGAAAAAAAATATTCCCTTTTGTTTCCTACACTCGCTTCAGTGTTTTTACAAAAGTACAGTTAGACATTTTATATATATATATATATATACACACACACACACACACACACACCAAATCTAAAGTAGCGTTATTTTTCATTATAGGAGAGCAGGTAGGAACATACAGGTGGACACATTTGAACTTGTGGTAGGAGGCCATGTCAGTCAAGATATGAGCGTATGCAAAGAATAATTGGACTTGATCAATAAATAAAATAAAAAAGTAAAACACTTATTAAAGAACAATGAAACGTTTCGGCTCGGAGGTCGGTGTGGTTCCTTATTTATTCACCTGCTGTAACGCAGGCAGACCTATAAAGGGCCGCGCACGTTCACACAGGTCAACTACATCAATTCCTGAAGGAATATGACTAATAATTCTCCTCAAAAACAGAAAGATAAGAAATGAAAAGCTCATACCTGAGATGAACGCAGGACCGTACAGAAACAAGAGCTTGTGAAAGAAATATTGCAGAAAAACCTCGTAGCATACTAGCGGAAAACCGTGCAATGCCCTCACAGACTAAACCTGACGGTCCTTTCCGACGCCGTCAGCTCGCGTACAACGAGCAGTGTGTATTATGGTTTCAAAATAAGTGTAAAAAACTATATTTTCTGTTTTTATCCTGAATTTTTCTGGTGAAGCCAAATATATGTAGTAAAAGGGAGCTTTTATTTATTGTTCACACGGTGGAAAGTTTATCAAGACATTTCGAGGCTAACGACCATAGAGCCAACAATCAAACAAGCCTGGAAACGTCTCGCGCGAGGACGATCTTAGACATTCTGGAGTCCAACATTAGATTAGCAATAAGCAGCAGAAAAAGGGTCAAGCCTTGGCCAAAAGGCCATTAAATGACTGAAAGAGCATGATCAATGACAAGATACAAAAAGGGAATATTAATCTCTGTGCCATTATACTTTAACAAATTATACAGTAATAAAGCAGACCTAATTTCATCCCATGTAAAACCAACATAAAACAAGAGCAATGGATAAGGCTTAAAGCTTTTTATCTTCTCCAAGACAGGTAGGTGTACCGACAGCTTCTTCTAATAGCCAATTGGGTGGGTTGCTGGGATTGGACACAGTGTACCAAGTTATTTACAGAATGCAAAGAGACATTAATGGCAATGGGTCCACTAGACGTGACGTTATTGCGAGATGGATCTTGAGTGAGACAAAAGCAAGCGGCCCATTACACAAATGATAATGCGACATGTGAATTGACGTGCTTTCGAGCAAAACTACATGCATACAAAAACACACAGACCCATTGAATGCAGTTCATCCACCCAGAATGGAAGTTCCCTGCTGTCCCCCTCACACAGTACTGTTCTGGTTTTTGTAGTCATTTATTTAGTGTCCCCACAGGTCAGTATTCAGCGTAAAGAACACCCTTTTTAGCAGCACCATTCGAACTCTAGTGTCGCTCTAGGGCTGAAGACTCAGCATAGTCTTTCCTATAATGGCCCAGAGGTCAGGAGGGCACAGACGTCTCCTGGATTAAAAGACTTCGTAATTGGTGAAGTAAATGAAGTGACTCTTGGCGACAGGCCTATTGACGCCGAAGGCTGTTGGAGTCCTACCGATCCAGACTGTGGTGAAGAGGGAGGTCATGAGATGGGCTGCGTATCACCCTCCAAGACCACACTGTTGTGCAGACAGACATCGAGATGGAGTGGTGGTCATTTATTCCTTGCCGAACTGTACCCATATCTACAGATCAGCTTTCCGAAACCCACCCAACAGTGAAACACTGGGATGAAGCCATGATAGTGTAAATGCAAATATGATGTCTCATGACCCAAGATTACGGTCAGCAGCAACATCGTTGAGTCTTAACTTCACCATAGTTATCTTCTGAAATGTACTTTTATTATTACTACAGATTTTTCACCCACGGCATGATAATCCACAGTTGTTTTTTGTGCTGGAAGGAGTCTGATCGGACGGAAAACATGATTAACCTTTATTTAGTTATATTTAAAATTTACAAGAGCATAGAGTCAAGAAAACTTCAGTCCTTATTGGTTGATCGGCCATTGACACTTGACTCTTCATTTTTTGCTTTCATACAGTATTGATTTCTTATGCAAGGGGATAGAAAAGAAAAAAAGAAAATAGAAAAAGGCAGCATGGAGAGGACAACAAACCAAAAAAGAAACTCCCAGAGCCAGTAATGCGCACTTCAGGTAGAAGGTGGGGAGGACACGATGGGGTGAGGAGGACAGAACCTGCAGATATTCATGATGCGTGGTGATAATTAAGGGGCAGGTGGACCACGAGGTGAATGAGGAGAGGAGGGCGAGGGAGCTCTGGAGGATCAGAAACTGTCCACCCAAGTGCCATAACCTCGCTCTGCCAAAGTGCGGTTGAGCAGGACCAGCTACAAAAAAGGAACCATGTATCATCATGTTATTCATGTTTCATGTTATCAAAGACATGAAAATGAAGCAAGATGGCCAAGATGATATTGTTACTGTTCTAGTTGTGGTGTGGACTCTGCTATTCCTTTAAATTTAGAATGATTTGTAAAACCATATCTATATACTTACTTTATTGTTATAGTTAACGTCCTTGGAGTGAACAAGCTTTAAAATGTCAGAATATTAAGTTCTGAATTAAACATTTCTTAAAATAAAATGCTTGAGGAAAACAAATTATGAATGTACAGAAAAATACAACAATAATAAATGAATTTTACCTCCTCTCCCACCATGTTCCACATGTGTACTAAAGGAAGTCCTGTATTATTGTCGTAGTTGGTGACCTATATATCAAAATAGCCCATTAAATTATCTGCTGGCTATAAACATCATCAACATAAATGTCATCCATTAATGAATGATTTAAAGACTCACTTGTGCCAGCAATGGAACTCCTCTCGTCATCTCTTCCAGTGCAGAATTGGCCTCCGCGGAGAACCGATCTTCTCCTAATGAACACGTCAACAACAGTGAGATCCAGCTGGAGTGAGGTGATGGAAAATTTAACTTAAATGTTAAAATAAAGGCAAACCTGGAAGTGGGGCAATGTTGTCCAATAACACTTCTGTTCCTTGGAACGGTAATGTCACGAAGTCTGACCTGAAAATCAAAGATCAGTGAGTCCACAGCACAAGACTATGATAAGAACAACAGATATAAAAATTATATATTTCTGTATATATTTGAAAACATATTTATCACGAGTAGCATGTCTGCTTTTTAAATATAAAGAACTTTACAGAACAGTATGGAAACTTTTACTAATGAATACAAATTAATTTAAAAAACAGGAATAACCTGATCTGTCGAAGGGTGTCAATCTTGACTCGGTCATAGCCACCATAATCAACATATCGAATTTCCACTTCGGATGAATCTTTGTAGAAGGAGATGACCTGCGCTCGCCACCAGGCTCCATCTACAGCTGGGGCCGCACAAATCACTCCAACTGGAAAAGAGATGGAGAAAATTAGTTATTTTCTGCAGAAAGAAGAATGCGAAAAGAGAAAAAGGGGGCTCTCTTACCTTCAACAGGCGATGGCAAGGGGGGCGTCCCAGGCTGTGAATAGCACAGGAACATCTGTTGGTCCAGACTGCGCAGGGCGTGATACGTAGGGTGAGTGTGCTGCTGGACAAACAGGTGACCGGCTGATACAATGTTCACCACAATCACCTCGACTGTCACCCCATTGGGCAACAAAAGCTGTAACAGACAGATCCAATGAAGCACTATATTAGAATGCCAAAAATGTTGGACTCTGGGTTCATGTTTGACAAAAATAAAAAGATCCCTGAGGGTGCATGACAGTCAGAATGCTGCCTTAGATGCTAGCTGTCTATGTAGTCTGCAGGAACAGGAGGAAGGGGCCAATCTTACCCAGGAAGTCATGGGCAGAGAGGGCAGCGTTAGCGGTGGGTGAGGTGGGGCGTACAAGTTGGTCAGGTCCAAGTCTTTGAACTTCTTCCCAATCAAGGCCAGTGCCTTATCTACCTGCTGCTGGGTTCCTAAGAAACAAACAAAACAACAAAAACAATCAATTCAAGAAGGCCATAGTTTGTGGCCTTTCATAGAAACTCACTTACCCTCTATATGGCAGATCTGAAACTCTTGAGTATAAGGCAGGGTTGAAATGTAGATCTTAGCACCGGAGCTTTGCTTCAAAAAGCTCACGTATCTTCCTTGTTTGCCAATTAGCCGTCCCACTAGATGCTGCAAAACAAGAGGACAACCACAGATATCAAAGCAGGTTTTAATGAATTCATACACAAGGTAAGAAAGCTAGCACAGACTAAAGTTTCTGTTTTGACATTCAGATAAAGAGCTGTTAGCAAACATGCAAAGAGTTTTCCTTAAAAACTGCTAAAATACTTTAAGAAAAACCTTTGATTGATCGCAGCAGCACTAAAGGTGAAGCAGAATCAGAGGAGTTTAAGGGAATCGTACCTTTGGCACCTCAATCTCCCACACAATAAGCTCAGAGCTCTGTGATTGACAGGTCTGGCTGCCACTCAGCTGGCTGTCTCCTGCCCCCAAGGTTGAACAGCTGTCCACTGAATCCATGCTATTCACATCTGATCCTGTTGGGGGGAGAGGGGTGTCACATTTGCCAATTTATAAACATACAAAATCATTTCATTGACTTCAACAAATGTTTGTAAAATTGACAAAAAAAACATTCGACCATCTATTTTCAATAATAATATGCCTCAAGATTAAAATAAACGTAATAAAATTATATTTGTTATAAAATATTCATATATACATAAAATGTCAAATATAATAAATTAATTCATTTAAATAAAAAAGGTCTGTCAACTGAATAAATAAATATTACCTGCAACTAATCCCGAGATGATCTGCATATGGTAAAAAATATTGTATATAGTATTGCATATTATATAGATAGATAGACAGACACAAACATACACCTAAAAAGGTAAAATATAGTAAATATAAAAATAAAAAAAAGTCTGCCAACATAATAATAATCAATAATCACCTGCAACTAATCCTAAGATGTTCTGGATATCGTTAATACTATAATTAGCATAGTTGGGGGAAAAAAGGGCATCCATTCCACACACACCATCACTGCAACTTATATCGATGACTTTCAGGGGTTCTAAACTGAATGTCTTTAACATGCATTCAAACGCAAATGCCTGCTTAGCCAGATAATCACTGTTTGCTAAGCAACCATGGGGTAACAATAACAAACAACTAATACAGCTGAGAAGGACCATCGACAAACAAAACAACCAGCCTCTTCCCTCTGGACGTGAAGCACTGCCACCATTGTTCTTGACTCATACCATTATAGCAGTAAGCTTATGACAAATTGCTCTTCTGTTTACTGACTCTTTTGCTGCTACTTGACAGTGTCAATAATTACCAACTTACTTGGTTTTAGCCAACAAGGGAGTAGAGGTCAACCGATTAATCGGCCAATTTTTGGCATTTTTTAATTAATCAGCATTGGCCGATTGTGCTGCAAATTAGGCCGATTTATAGGCAGGCGCATCTGTGGCCAGCTAAGCGTTGTTGTGGAACCCCGGGAATCTCTCTCTGGCTGCGTGAGAGACGGAGCAACTCACACTCTGCAGCCGCTTCCTGTTCACACACAGCTTCAACTAATGATGGCAGGGCAAAACAGACGGTTTTGAAAGCCTAATTACGTTTTACCCTACTAGAATTGATGCCGGAAAGTTATCATATTCATAAGTGCTTGTGAAAGTAGAAACACATGCAATTCAGACGAAACTTTTGGGCTGATTATAACGTGCACATTAATTTTCCTTGTGAAATGTGTGTGTAGGTCCGACAATAGCATCCACGATGTCATCGCTCGTGGCCAGTGCATTCTTAAGCAATTATGAGCAGCAGGCTGTGCAATATGTGTAAACTCTTATTTTTGTTATCACTTGGCCATTTGACTTATAGCAGTGTCCAGTGTTTCCCATACATCGAGTTATTGCTTAATTGAACAAACTGATCACTGCACGTTTCAAAATTAAAATGCAGCGCTGGTGTTTTTATATGAATGCATCTTTGAAAAGAACCAACCGTCTTCAGAAAAGCTTCGGTGTCATTTTGTCTTTCCTGATAAAGTAGTGTTTGTGAGCGCAGTGCTTATTTCATTACAGCCGTTACCGCAATATCTCCCGCTCCAACAGCGCCTCCTGCTGGCGGAGAATGAATTTGCATTTGCAAGTCTGTGGGAAACACTGGTGTCTGTCATCAAACAAACAAAAAGCATGCTTCAGAACTGTTTTGAGAAGGTGCTTAAGTTTTGAGCCATGTGTTATTACTCTGAATTAGGCTACTACTGCTATTACTATCTTGTACCCTGCAATAATCATTTACTCCAACTCACAAAAAAAAGAAAATCAGCAAAACATATTGGCCAAAAAAAAATCGGCATCATATCTCGGCAATCGGCTGCCCTGATTTCTAAATATCGGCACCGGCCAGTGAAAAACCCATATCGGTCGACCTCTACAAGGGCGGAAGCATCAAAGTTATGTTACATTTTCTCCTTTCATTCAAGTGAGGATGGGCTAAGACACTAGCTGCCGCCAGTCTCCACACCTTTCTCAGGTCACAATATGGAGATGGCAGCAGCTGGTGTGACGACACCTCACAAGGTTTCAGAAAATCACGCACACTCCCCACACGGGTGCTTCCGGTTATCAAATCAATAGAGAAATAATCAGCCTGTAAAAAATACTGTAAATGGTCAATGCGCAAGTATCGCCACGTTCTTGTGAAAACACCTGCTGACTAACTAATAACAGACTTAAAACTGGCCGTTTCCAACACCTGCTCGTAAGCAGGGGAGTTAAAAAAGCAAGATGGCACTGATATCCATGTAAGGAAGTTGCTGTAGTAGGGAGCGGTAAAAACAGCCATGCACATGCGGTTGTGCTCATGTAACATACGCTGTTTGGGAATTTGGGCATCTGAGGTTTCCAAAGAGTCTATTCACAGTTTGAGAGGTACCCTTGACTTAAGCTTTTCTGTTCTACTACATCTTTCCAAATGTCAAGAAGAGGACTGACACTGGTTGGATTTAAACAAAAACAAAGCCAACTGAAAACAGCAAGTATGTTAGTAAACAATGCCGGTCCTTTGCGCCTTCATTTTGGGGGAAAACTTTAGCAGAAATGTCCTTTACGCTAGCAACAAGCAAACATTTGGCACAATGCAACGTGTGAATTACATGGTGAAAAAGCAAACCTTTTTTTTTTTCTCCATAATGCATGATAAGAATACTGCATCTCACACTTTTAAGTGGACCGCAATCAAACATCCTACCGAGATGGAGTTCATGTGAAGTGTGCAATACTGTAAGACGCTCTGAAACCATTCAAATGAACTGAATTCAGTAGTATTCACAGATCACACTACAATGAAAATTCCGTCACCCTTTACTGTGACTCATATAATTCTAAACCTGTTTGATTGTATTTCTCCTGCGAAACACAAAACACATGATACTCGGCTGGGATCGTGTAGAGCCTTTTGAAGCTGCATTGAAACTGCAATTTGGACCTTCAACCTGTTGGTCACCATTTAAGTCCATTATATGGAGAAAAACCCTGGAATGTTTTCCTCAAAAACCTTAATTTCTTTGCACCTGAAGAAAGAAAGACATGAACATCTTGGATGACATGGGGGTGAGTAAACTATCAGGAAATTCTTATTCTGGAAGTAATCTAATCCATTAACTTTTAACTGTATGGACAAAAAAACAAATAAATTTTTTTAAATATCTTTTATTCCACAGAAGAAAGCGTGAGGAATGTTGATTGACTGAAAAGTTGCTCGCTGTTGTTACGCAACTGTAGTAGTGTGAGGAATTTATATTCTATTCGTTTATTTTGTATTTATCCAACACACCTATGACTGATTCAGGTGTGCGAGGCACTGTATATCTTTTGGGTTCCACAGAAGAAAGAAAGTGAAATTGGTTATGAATGACCTCAGAGTGAAAAAAAATTACAATTTTCATTGTTGGGTGATCAATCCTTTTAAGCCCTAGTGTTAAATTCTTAAGAACTGTAACTCACCTCCTGATTGGTCAGCTTCTACATCATTAGCAGTACCATTCCTAAAGACTGTTCCATTCAACCGTGCTGCCTCGCAAACCGTAGCCACGTTTTCTGCAGTAAGTGGGGACTCCTGAGAGGCTATTAGACCAAGACTCTCCTGCAGTCCATCTCCTTGACCCTCTGAGGCCCTACAAGTCCCTGAAATTTGAATGAGGTCCTCTTTACTTTCAGACACATTCAAGGACAACCCTGTGCTATGGAGATCCTCGCTGCTGATGCCATCCTCTGACTGGCACGTGCTACATCCTGAGTCTTCCACCAGAGCTTCCTCAGCCTGCAGCTTGGCCAGAACCGGCGTGGACTCCAACTGTTCCCCAGACGACACAGTCAATGAGCCTCTTTCCTTCTCATTCTCCGGCATTTTCCAGAGCGAAGGCACCAGACAACCGTTGACGATGTCTTTGGCTATCTGCACCGCCCGTGACTCTGTGCTTTCCATGCTCTCTGGAGGTACATACGACTCCACTTCCTTACCATTTACAGAGGGCGTGCTGTTGTCAGCTGCTTTAGAGCCCTTGCTGTACCGGGACTCACAGCTGCTGACCGCCATGACCTCCTGGGTGGCTGCCGAGATGACCTCCGTGATCAGCCCTGCTGCGAGACGCTGGAGCTCCTGCATGTCTGGACTGGTCTCGGCCGGCAAGCCCAGGTCTCCGTTTTCATGGTGCTGAGCCTCGATGGAGCTTTCTGAAAGGGGTGTGCTGGTGGAGTTGGGGAACGAGATCAGAGTCAGCTGTGTTTTTGGGCTGCAGGTCTCCAGCAACACAGCCTCGCCCTCTGCTGATGATGTGGCGGAGGCCAGGTCATCTTTTGAAATGTCAGCCGGCAAATTCTGATTGCAAGTTGGTGCCGAGGTTTCAGCGGCCACCTCTCCCTCAGGTTCAGGTCGCACTGCTTTGACTAGCTCTGCAGGACGCTGCTTAGTTAGTGGTTGGTTTTCGACCTGCTTCTTGACTGAACCAGTGCTCGCTATATCTGACGGTAACTGGCTTGAAGGTTTGCTGCCAATGGCAGCCTCTGGTCCTTTGTGATGAGTGCTCTCGTCCACTGTTTTTGTTGGGGTTGAAGATGACACAGGAGTTGTTGTCTCTGGTTGGCTTTGTAGAGGGACTGATTTTGTACCGCTCTGAGGAGCGCTTAGCTGTCCACTGGCCAACACAACTGGAGGGGTGCCGAGAGCCTCTCCCGCAGTGGCTTTTAGCACCGGTGTGTGAATCTCCTCTAGAACTTCCTGCTCAACAGGTTTGTGCTCTTTGGCCTTGACTCCGTCTCGGCTGGTTCTGCGGCGTGTGCTGCTTGCCGCAGGGCAGCTCTTGTCGACCATCCCATTGCTGCCCTCACCAGAGGAGGTTCGCAAGCCCATAACTGACCCCTCCTCACTGTCGTGGCTGGTGATTCGCTCTTTCTTGCGGGAGATGTACCACCACCAGCCTATGAGCGCCAGCACTCCAGGAAGCGTATACGGAACAAAGGACCGGAACCTCAGTGGCATCTCCTCTGGACCCTAGCAGCTACACCTGCAGATCAACACAAGGAACAATGATAAGACAAATAATGTCAAAGCAAGATAAAACAAAGGAAATTATGGAGAAATGTTGCACTATAAAAGGACAAACAATAAACCTGACATAGACATTAAGCTCAATCATTCAGTCTTGTTACCATAATTATATATCAGCATTTAGTACCCAACCACTACTGAATTAAAGATGAATTTGGCCTATTTGTAATACTATTACCCTTTTTTTTTATTTAATGAAAACTGCCCAAAATTGCAAACCTTCCTACATATTTTCCAATAACAATTGAATTGCTGTACATTATCCCACTTACAACACGGCTACCTTTTTTAAATGAATAAATGGATATGAAATATTGAGGAGAGTTGATTTTTTATTTATTATTATTATTTTATTTTTGTAAGAAGAGACCAGAGTGATATAAGAGACATTAATCTTGTACAGCATTTTTTGCTGGAAATTAGTTGAAAACATATTCGACCACAGATAGGACAATCAGAAAGTATTCCAGAGAGCAGTGTAATAAAAGGTTTTATATCTGGTTTAAGATGTGTTGCCTTTGGGAAGAAGTGAAAGAATGGGTGACTCATCATCTTGGGAAATTACACACTGCATTCATTCAGCATTCATTCCTTTGTCTTGCTCACAAGTCTGTGTTACATCTAGAAAACAACTAGCTCATGGTTACATAAGATGCATGGGCACTAAAACATCTTCCATGGAATTATTATATACTGATGACTACATAGTATGTAATAAAAAAATTAACTGCATCCTTCAAAGACAAAGACTAAAAAGAAGCAGTTAATCAAAACCTGTGAATCTTTAACAAAAAATAAAGAAATTACATATAACATATTGCTTTGTTTGCTGCACTTTTGGTCTGGCTCCTTTACAGTGAGAGAGGGAGTTCTGGGCAGCCATGCAGAAACTTCAGGGACAATATCACATGGCTGACATTTAACCTCAGAGGGTACTGAGAGCTACGTGCAATGTCTACCTCACTGCTATTGGCCAGAAGGGGCATCCTTTCAGAGTTAAAAAAGGACATTCATGCATGCATTTCCATCATGGGGACAGCATATCCCAGTCTCCAGAGGAGGAGGAACACATCACATACAAACCCCACCCATTTACTCCTGTACATAGTAACCAAAGATAAAGGGGTTTCCATTTCTCTTCAGCTTCCAGAGAGCGTTTCAGAAGACATGCTAACCGCCTCTCACGGTCAATAAATAGTGACTACTTGAGCACGTAGCATACAGAATGACAAATATACTACGAGAAAGAAACCAAAGTTGGATCTTAACGTGGAAACATTTTTTGAAATACGCGAATAATTCAGGAACAAAATATAGTTAAGTACAAAGCTATATGATATTGGGGTGACCAATTATTATTATTATTTTTTTTAAAGGATTTTAAGAGCCTTAAAGAAAAGAACAGCAAAAAAACTAGAATTTACTGTAATCAATCTGTACTATTTGCATATTTAAAAAATGCACTCATTCACTCATGTTGTAAATGGCTCTGTTAAAATTTCTTGTCTCATCACATTCAGTTATGAATTACATCACACAAATGAAAGCCTATATTTTCAATTTAATATAGCAAAAATGTTGAATAGTTTGCATCAATGGATATTACTGTCAGTTGTTGAATATTTCTATTGTAAAACAGTTGTCAAATATTAAATAAGCTACTTACATCTTCACAGTTTTTCATCTTTAAAACAAAAGCATCATGTTAGACTTCTGTGAACAGTAAATCCCACCTTGTCTGATTTTATTGGCCATCTCAATCATTTTGACATTGAGCGCTGATAGACCGCTGAGAATATATCTAAGTTTTTATAACTAAGCTGTAGCTTTTAAAAGTTGTCATCCTAGACAGCAGCAACGCAGCAGGAAGAATATCAAAAATTTGGCAATTTCTAATTATGGGAGGGGGGTGTCAGTAAGTACCATGCTAATAGCATCTGAAGCATCAATTACTGTAAAGGTATCATTAGCAGGATGAATGTCAAACACGACGCCAACCGTATGAAAGTTGTAATATTCCCTATAATAGATCTTTTGAAGTCTTTGTACAGCATAGCAGGAAAATTAGTCAATTCCTCAGATCGTAGTGTTGACAGCATTCCTCAAGTTCAAAATGAACAAACAAATTTGATGGAAAAATACAGTTTATAAATGACAACAAACCTAAATCTGAACCCAAAATATCTAGTCCCTACCAAGCAACAGCATCATTCTTAAGTTTAGGAGGTGAGTTGAGGGTCTTAGACTGCATTTAGAAACGACCTAACTTTTGATGACAGGGTTATAAAATCAGCAAACCTCTTTAAAAACGTATATTAGAAAATATATCTCATACAGCATTTTCTTTTTGACAAAAAAAAAAGTTTTACATAAACGATTATTTAAAGTGCAACATAAACGATTTCCCAATTCACCATACACAATTTCTATATTTCAGACATTAGTAGCTTTTCATTTTCTCAACTCAAAGAAATTGTAGTAGTACTAGCGATGGAGGGTTGTTCACACAATGCAATAGCCATAATATTAATACTACACTGTCTGTTAACTCTCTCAGTCTCGAGAGCACGTTTCAAGCAGGCATGTTCACAGAATGTAGTCACATACTGTAGTTTCTGCACAGTAAAGTCCTCCTAAACCAGTTTCAGTCCCGTGTTCACCTTCAGGCCGAGGTTAAATAAATGCTCGCCGAGTTAACGCTCGCTGTCATATCATGGCCTGAGCGCGTGCGCGAGCGGCCCACTGAAAAAGAACCGAGCGCGTGCTGCACGCTGGCCGTTCGACCTTGGGGAGGTGTAGAGATAACGGAGAGGGCACCGTAGCCAGTCATTCGCGCAACACGTAACATACGAACCCATTGATCTCAAGTAAGCGGCTTACTGGTGCTGCTGCATTCAGAATACAAAAGCGAGCCCGTGAACACTCCAGCGCGTCAGGAGCTGGTTAGGTGCACCGGCTGCTGCTGGAGATACACCGGAGAGCCCCGAAAGTGACCTGCGCCGAAGTCAAAGATATAACACGACATATTCGTGCACGAGACTAAATAGACACCTTGCAGCCAGATGTCTGCGAGCTTGCATTGAATGCTGCGCGTGTTAGCAGTTAGGCTAACTGTTCATTGCTGTTATAAGAACGAATAGGCGAAATGAGAGAAATATAAGCAGAAGCTTCCACAGTTTACGCCAGCAATGAAACGACACACAAAACCGAGGTGATTCAATAAAGAAAAAACGTAAATAACCAGTTGGAGAGGTGATATTGACCTACAGTGCGCGTGGTAACGTTAGGCCGCTGAATGAATTGCAACCCCATGCAGGTAACGTTATTCAGTCTGAAGTACTGACCGCTTCAAGTGTCTCGACTTTAAAACGAGTTCACCGGGGTAACCCTCCACCAAGTCCTCCTCCTTCACAGCGTCTCTGAATTATTCATGAGTTCACAGACACTGCGAGTCCATGTGGCTCGGTTCATAATTCAGCTGAATGAAGGTGTGAGAGGTGACTTCAACGCGCAAAGAACATATGTTCCCTCTGTCATACTCCAAAATGACCACGATCAAATTATAATAGCGCCAAGTAGCATTATGAATTGGGCCTGAAAATATGGAAACGACAGTTCCCTAGTGGAAAGTCCAGATTATAATGGTTTATAGCTGGTCCAAGTTGGTAATTCGCTGGTAGGACCGGCAACAAATCACCTAGCAGCTGGTCACACCATCTTAAAATGCTCAAGATAGTTCGTGGAATATGTAACCTGGCCAACCAGCTACTGATCAGCTTAAAAACTAGCTAACGTTACTATGTGCCATAACATGGTCATGATGATTTTTGCAACATGCCATCTGGTCTATTAGCTAATAATTATCGATTTCCCTGCAGTTGCTTAATTTGACGACAATAATTAATGTGCAAGACCTGTTACCTATCCGTTCGAGTTGAACTCAGATTTGGCGACACCGTTAGCCGATATACGTTAGCTAAAGCGTTTCGGGCGCTCTGGATAGCGTTGACGCAATGTCAGACATCCGCTGTCGCACCAATGAAGGTGGAAATCATTTTTGAAGATGAGAAGGTTGCATGTGAGATGGTTAAAATCAGCTTGGATGTTAAGCAAAGGCCGACAGCAGGACTAATGAGAGAGGCGGCTAAAATGGGCTCCCTCTCCGCGCTATTTATGCTTCAACTATCAGCATATATGAGGTAAAAACCCGAACACACGGCTTATACTCACTGTGTTTATGCGTCCCTCGCACCGCCACCGTATAATATTAATGTTACGTGTTCAAGGCCCAGCACAATCCCAACGTGTCCCCCCTCTTCGTGTATATGTGTGTGTATATATATATATATATATATATATATGTCTCTTGAATCTCCTCCCCACGTGTTGACCGTCCTAACGCACACTCTAAAAACAGAGACGCATCAGCTGATCAAATCTCGCGATAACTCCGCTCTCAGTGTTAATGTATGCAATCATCGCGAGGTCACAGTGGTTGGACTCCACGAGGCTGCTCATACATTTATAATGTAAAAGGAAATAATTAGTAATTGTGACAGAAAGACTCAACATAAATTAGAGAAATTGTAGCTCAAAATATGGTTTCAGTTAAAGCAAAAGAGAGCAGCACTTATTTGATTTATTGACATTGCAGTTGGCTGCTAAACTTTGAACTTTGCCCCTGGAAATGATAAAGCCTGGAAAAAAAGAACAATGGAGGTTTGCCACATTTGAAAAGATCACAGTAATGATCTATTTGTTATATGATATGCAAGCATTTATCTAAAACGATTTTAAACATTATTTTTGTATAATTATACATGCAGCTTTTATGACCTCGTTTTAATTGAGACTATATGGAACATTTAAGTAAACTTATATAAAAAAAAAAATTAAAAACTGTGCCTGAAATGCTGAACTATCACAGTACACAGTATTTATTTTAAAACATATTAATATAAAAGCATATAAATATGTTCAAACGTGTCAGTCTCCTTTATGCATTTTTAAGTCATCTATATGGATTATTTAGCTTGTGAAATGACACTTTTACAATTCATAGTTAACAGATTGCCAAATCAAAGACTTGGGCCCTCCCAAAGGGTGATTTTGAACCTCAAAAGTGTCTTTTTGGTATTTGATATATTTATTTGGTTAACAAAGTTGGTTTTAACAGAGATGTTGCAGTTGCATTGTACTTTTGTTCTTCCATATATTCAGGATGAACAGAAATATTGCAAAAGCAAGCTCTTAACCATTGTTGGCTTATTTACCATGATGAATCAGAGCTTGTGGAAATGTAATCACTTTAAATGGAGTTGTTAGAGTTGATGAGATTTTAAGTATCTCCAAGCATCTAGATTTCATTGCATTGCCCTTGAAGGGAGGATATAGTTAAGTTATTAACTATAAAACAATTTTTTTTTACACCGGTTGTTTGGGGGTTTCTGAGGTGATAAACATCTGATACAGGTATCATTTTGGTATTTTAACATTTCTTTTTTATTTAGTAAAACCCTGACAAAACGGTATAGTAAAAATGGATTCCACATGTTAGACAGCATGGTAACAGGGTTGAGGGAAACTTTTATTACGAACACTGGTATAATTAAATTGCCATGTTATACATGTACAGCAACTAACCGCTTTACAAAAAAGCAAGTAATACAATATCATATATTTACACTTGTATTTATATACCTTCCAATTTTACACAAACATATTTACAGGTGACAGATACATTGTTTACAGATGACCAATGCAATTAAAAATGTGGCAAATGCATCAGACAAACACACATCTTGAATTATATAAAATAAACCACTTTTTTAGTCTGTTTATGATGAGTATATAAGACTAATAATTACATACTCAATTTAAAAGGCTTAGGGGCATGTCATGTGTCCTATTCGCCATCATGGCAGTCAAGACTGTGCCTTCATTATTGTCTTAAAGTTTTGACATTGGATTAGGTCAGTTCTAGATTGGTAGTAGCAATGCAACAACATATAAGATTCAAGAAAAAGGAGTTATATTCTGGTTAGCGTAATGGATGCAAAAAAAAAAAAGACAAATCTTACACTTCAAACACTTGATTGGGTCATTTATGTTCCTTTATATTTTCAATTTATATTAAAAACTGTAAATTTGACATGGACTGATGTGAAATTCGTCATTACGACATATAGAGCAGGAATAAACATTTCAGGTTTCATTTTTGATCATAAAACAGTCATCTGAAATCTGCTGTTGGGATGATATTTCACAGTAAATACTTAAAAAATGACCAAAAGTCAGTATGAAAGTACATTTTTGGATCTGCTGGATAGTATGTGGTAAAACCATCGGAAATGTAAAATAAATCTACAAATGAAATGGAAGAATGACATCGATTTGGTCCCAATTTTAAGTGTGAAACATCTGGTGCTCATGTGTATTTCAATGCAATCTTTTCAGAAACATAAAATTATGCATAAATATCCCATCCTCAAAACATTTGGCAGGTACCCTTCTTTAGTAATACAAGTTTCCCTTTAATAAGCATTTCAAAGAGAGCAAACACATCATGTACTTTGAGTCTGTTACTAGGTACACTACCGTTTTCGCCTTGTAGATTTGCCGATCTAAGTAATAACAAAAAAACAAAAAAAAGTAATGCAGAGAACATATTGCACACAAAAATCGCCCACTTCAGTTTTGACGGCCATTGTACGTTTAATACACTGAAGCCCTGATAATGGCATGTTAATTCAAACTTAAATGGCACAATTGTGGTTAATTTTGCAATTCACTGGTCAGGCGGCGAGTGAGAAAATGAAATGAAACACCAAAAACATGGTTACAAAGTTAGTGAGAACTGTATGGAAGAAATAATTAGTTAAGGCATACAACATAGACAAGACAGACATAAAAATATACAAAATGGAGTTCACAACAGTTTCCCCTCACAATATTGCAAACTTGTCTTTGGTGCAGTGTTACTATGTCAGCTTGTGATGGGATTCCTGTTCCGTATTTGAGAGCTGTTAGTGAGATGGGAACAGGGAAAGGTAAAAGTGTGCAGATATTTCCTGAACACACAGTTTAATCGTGTGTAACTTGTATACACACATAGTGTTCAACGAAACAAATTAAAAAAAACATATTGCACCACAGTGAGACAATGCTAAAACATGAATATTAATGCCAATTTGACATGTTTGATTTGTGCATTTTGGGACCAAAAAAAAAAAAAACTACATACGGATACATACTCATCCGCTGCTCTTCTAGAATAATTTTTGCGACGACTGATGATAACGATCCCAAAGCAAACCTTCATGTGATCTCCGGAAGGATTATCTACATTTTAAGAATAAATATTTAGATGCTGCAATATGATATTCTCATATTTGATGGTCACATGGTACTGTTTACACTGTAGCGACGAATGGACAATATGGTAAATGTTAAAGCCGCAACACGTTTTCATAATTAGTACCTGTTTTCCCTTCCTATTTTACAAACTATACACAGCTGAAAACCCTGACAAAGGCACACAATGGATAAAATAAGAACCCAAAACATGTGATCGTTATTATCGTCAATAGTATAGTACACAGATAATCTTGGATCGTGATCAAGATTTCAAGCCTGTGGATATCAGAACAGAACAGGCCGCGCGTCCATCCCGAAGCAGGTCCGGGACTAAATGGAAAAAGGACGGATACCAGGGCAGGATAAAGATCCTGCGAGTCTCCACAGGGTTGGTCATCTGTTTGTTGTAGTGGCTGATCAGATCAGTTTCTCATTCATGTGTTTCTTTCAGAAATCGATGAGGACATAATCTCAAGTTTGTGCAAAATCGAAGAGTGGACGCCTCAACATGGTCAGATTTAGCATTTCAATGTGGTCAGTCCCAAGACATTTTCGATGTTGAGTGCAACACGGAGAGTTCAGTGCATTCTCCTGAAGTAGTTCATTTAGGCAAGTGTGTGGCAAGCTTCAACTGGTATTAAAAAACAAACACTTAAGCGGTTCTTCAATGCAGGAACCTTGTTAACTGGACGACGGAAAGCAAAAAGGATTCGTGGAGAAGAACGATGGCCACGGAGTAGGTAGAAATGCTTCAAATCTTCTCAGACGATCTTTTTGATGCTTGGCCGTTTGAAGCTGCCTGCACTGCGCTGCTTCTGCACCTGGCTGGCTGACCCGTGTCGCGTTCGCCCACTGGTGGAGAGACTCGAGGTGGGAGAAATCTCAACGTTCTCCTTGTCAATTCCTGCAGGATAGAGATGTGATGTAACACCTATTACTTACTTAAAACCTTACATTCAATAAATTACCTTCCCAATCACATTTTAATCTGAATTTACATTCAGCAAATGTAAAAAATATTTTCAAACATTAACTAAAGCATTTGGTAAGGTTTCACAAACGGATGCTTTAACATAGAGTCTGGCTGTAAATACAAATATTGCACAGTAGGTGTCTCAGTGCACTACATTATAACAGAGGAGAAAGTCTCATGCAGGGATCCTGTGAACATTCATGATATGAGACATACATGTGCTTTTAAAATGTGCCTGTTGGTCTTGTGTAAATTATTAGAAGGTATATATCAGCATTACTATTCTCCTAGGTTCAAATTTCCTCACTATAATAAACCGAAGGACACTGGATTAATGTCTTTTATAAGATTTCACACTTGTAATTTTTAAAGCAACGCTGCTTCAAACTTTGGGTTATGATGCCTTTAGCTGGGTGCTAAATCTAAACTGTGGTGCCAAAATATACAACAAAGAAACAATGTGGTTCTGTAAAAAATATAAAGTTATTTAGCAACAGACACCCAATCATAAACTGCCTTAGTATGTATCAAATTAAATATAAAATTAAAAATGTAAAAAAATATATATATACTAATTACATTATATATGCATTATTAATAAAAAATTATTAATTGCATTTATATAAAAAATAACACTTAAAATTATAGATAATACATAAACAAAAATAAATTAATAATATCTATATGAAGTCAAAAATGTTACATATTTAATATAAAAATATATTATAAAATTTTAAAATAAAATTAACATATAATTTATAATTGTATGATTTTTATCATACAAAAATAAAGATTATATATAATAAATATTAATTTTGTCATATATATATATATATATATATATATATACAGTATCTCACAGAAGTGAGTACACCCCTCACATTTTTGTAAATATTTTATTATATCTTTTCATGTGACAACACTGAAGAAATGACACTTTGCTACAATGTAATGGAGGGTTAAGGCAGTGCTGGAAAATAATGGTGGCCACACAAAACAGACACTTTGGGCCCAATTTGGACATTTTCACTTAGGGGTGTACTCACTTTTGTGGCCAGCGGTTTAGACATTAATGGCTGTGTGTTGAGTTATTTTGACGGGACAGCAAATTTACACTGTTACACAAGCTGTACACTCACTACTTTACATTGTAGCAAAGTGACATTTCTTCAGTGATGTCACATGAAAATATATAAAATATTCACAAAAATGTGAGGGGTGTACTCACTTCTGTGAGATACTGTATATATATATATATATATATAAACAGTGCTGGGTAGTAGCCGATTACATATAATATGGATTACGTAATCAGGTTCCAAAAATTAAGTACTTGTAATTAGATTACATTACATTTTAAAATACTCGTAATCAGACTAAAATTACTTTATTAATTACATGATTACATATTATTCACATGGTCACATGAAATGCAGGTAAACAGGTATACTATTTAATATTTTTATTAAGTGTTTTATTTTGATTGTTGATATTTTTTAAATATTTATTTTAATTGAGCATTTTTATGATTTAATTTATTCGCTTTTCATTAATCTCATGAACCCCCTGCAGTTCCTTCATAAATCCCAGTTTGGGAAACGTTGACGTAATGTTTAATGCACTTCATGTTTTTAATAACAATGAATAAGTGACAAACAAGTTTGGTCATTCATTCATACCCAGCACTGTGTGTGTATGTATGTATATCTATGTATATATATATATATATACATATATATACATATACATATATATATATATATATATATATATACATATATACATATATATATATATCTACATATATACATATATATATATATATATACATATATATACATATACATATATACATATATATATATATCTACATATATATATATATCATATATCTATATATATAAATAAACCTATTAATTATAATTTAAAAATATACATTAAATTTTTTTTTAAAATGACAAATTAAGAGAGGTAAGTAACAGCATTACTAAGGGTTAAAAATTACAATGGCCTCACAATTTCAAGCGTAAAAAGCCTTAATCAACGCATTTAAAACTGAAAATGTTCAGTCCTCAGCTGCGTTTGTAAGTGTTTGTAACCAGGCCCTTGTGATCTCTCTTCACACTTCCTGTTAAAGTAGCCCCTCTTGCTTTGATACGACAGTAGCATCTACTACCGACTCCAGCAGCAGATTTACAATTCAAACACTCTGCCAATGGCAACAACTGCTATTTCCACACAACGGAGGTCGATGAGTACCTGGGAGGACGAGGTGAGGTGGGAATACGGCCGACTTAGAGCAAGGCAGACAGGCTTCACACAGACAGAGTAGAAAAGAACAAAAAAAAAAGACAAAGACATGAGTGACACATTCACAACTCAAAAGAGGACAGGAAGGACAGATGAATGAAAGAAACAGGAAATCATAATAAAAATGGCAGCTTACAGATATATCTAACAGAGTTCTGCTGAACAGTGAAGCTAAGCAGTAGTTGGTATTAGCTCAAAATGCAGCTTAAACTGATATCCAAAGGAGAAATTAATGAGAAGGAACGTGATTTAGACATTCACTTAAGTGCTTGCTGGATCACCTAATGACTTGTTACACATATATGCATATAGAAATACCTCCGTTATGAATATAGACCCTTTAATGGCCAATTTAAACTGAATAGTATCACACTGCTACCACTGAAAAAAAGTAAAGACAAGAAATAGGCACTTAAATAAGTTACCACAGTTCGCAAACTATAGAACTGGACATTAATTGCCCAACACAGCTCTATAGTTTAGGTTTGTACCAGCTGTTTTCGGTGGCACCTCCTCTGTGGTTCGTGGATGGGAGAGAGTTGGGGACCGTCTATAAACTATAGGGCCCTCTGAACCGACAGCACATTCCCAATGAAAAGGAGACAGAATGCAGTGAAGTTAATGAAGATACAAACGCAAAGCAAAGGTGTCAAATGCACACACAACCACTGTCAAAGCCCTGTACGGTCTAGTCTAAATCTTGCACATCTAGCGAAGTCCATGAAACTGTGAACTGGTGACACTTTTAGAGGTCTCGAGATATGAAAGCAGACAGAAAAGCACTGACAACCGCAAATGCGGCGTTATTTTTTTCCCGCTAGAGTATGTCGCAATGACATTATATGTGTTAGCATTATAATTACTCACGTAATCACATTTACGTGAGCAAGTGTGAGTAGCTTAGGAAAAATGTGACGTGTGAAGTTAAGTGAGTGACTAATAACTAATTTGCGTCTACGTGTGTGTGTGTGTATGATGCAGGAAGTGAGCACTGACCTGGTGAGTGCTGTGAGGTGGCGAGAGATGTCATGGAGTTGGACAGGTTGAGGTTGGCCGTGATGCTGAGCTGGCTCTGAACCGTGGGTGGATACGGAGAGGTGGGCGTGCGCAGTGACTCCTCCCCTCCTTCTTCTTCAATACCAGGAAGGTAAGTGTCGATCAAAGCATCTAGGAATTTAACCACGAGCTCGGCATAGTCTGGAATTTGGGTTTGCTGTTGGAGAGAATAAAAGCAGCAGCTATTATTAATGATTTAGCTTTATTTAACACATTCGGCATGTTGAATTGCAGAAATCTCGGTCCGGGGGCACCTAGATCGGACCGAAAGGGCACTTTAACATCACAATTAAAGGCCGCCCCCGTGCATGCTACTTGTTCAGGGTGTGTGTGTGTGCACTTGGATGGGTTAAATTCAGAGCACAAATTCCAAGTATGGGACACCATACTTGGCTACACGTCACATCTCTTTAATTTTTCACTTTCGAATAGCAGTAGAGTACGGATGCATGATCTCCATCTGCTGTTAGTCGCTCACCAGCAGTTGGTGCAAGCGGCTGTTGATGAAGACCAAAGCATCAACAGCCACTTGCACCACCTGATGAAGATGCTGTAACCATCAGCGTCGGGTAAAACAGCATTATAATCTCCTTTGCGGTAAAGAAAGCTGGTTACATGTACAGGTGCATCTCAATAAATTAGAATGTCGTGGAATAAGTTCATTTCAGTAATTCAACTCAAATTGTGAAACTCGTGTATTAAATAAATTCAGTGCACACCTACACAGGGAAAGGCGTAACAACGAAGATGTTGAATTAAATGTGTAAACAGCTTTTATGTATTAATCAGCTTTTCCACATATACATACTGGCCCTAATAATCATAACTTCTACTTGCCGCTTGCTCCATTTCTGCAAATCAGTTTTTGTGAATGAATGACTTGCTCTACATGCCGGTGAGCGACTAACAGCAGATGGAGATCATGCATCGGCACTCTACTGCTATTCCTGCAGTTTCCGGATATGCAATGATGAATATTCTGCCAAATTTGAACCACTGAATTTGTGGAAGCGACTTTGTAAAGTGAAATGGACTGAAAATTGCCTTGTCGAATAATATACATTGTATTTTTAAACAGACTGAATATTTTGAAAGTAAACTCCGGGAAATGATTATGGATTATTGAATTTTTAATTATGAAAATGTGTGTGAAATTTTTTTAATCTAATTATTCACAAATATGCTTAATTTCAGCCCCTAAAAATGCAAGCCCTGAAAATACAAGGCATTAAAATAAAAATACTGTTAATGCAATGCATAATTTTTTCAGGTCAATTCAACAAGTTATTTTTATTCATTTTTAAGACATTTGTCATTATTTTTTCTTCCATAGCAATGACTGGAATAACCTAGATCTTAAGGATTTGCTGTGGTCAAAATAAGCAGTAATGATTATACCCCTTATATATATATATATATATATATATATTTTTTTTTTTTTTTTTGCAAAAAAAGTTAGCAAATTTAAGTTTTTGAAAACTTAAATGAAAACAAATTTTCCCAGCACGTATAAAATTTGTTCTAAAAAATAACAGTAATAATAAATAATAATACAATAATTTCTATTTAGATCATTCATTTTATATAATAAAACCTGACATGTTGTGGTGAATCAAGTATTTTTACATGCCCTGCCAATATTTCAACTGGCTTCACCAAGAAACTTCAGGTTTTTATTACATAAGATGTATTATAGAAATTGTTGTAGTGGTGTGACAAAACTTTTTTGTGAAGAAAACTAAAGACATTTTTTTCCCCCCAACATGTATTTCATAAGAATATAATTAAATTAGAATATTTTTGAAAAAGATACAGTTAAAATAGAATTTAAAAGTAATTAATAAAATAATTTAAATCTGATAAAAAATATTGGCAGGGCAAGTAAAAACCTGAAATACTGGTCCGACAAGGCAGGAAGAAACAAATCATTATTGCTGAGATATAAAAGTAGTAAAATAGTTCCTTCAGCAAGGGATGCATAGGCAGTACATCCCTGTCATTTACACCTATTTAAAACACACAGCAGAACTGTGGGAGAGAAGCAGGGCAGAGACACAGGATGAGTGTGGGAGATGTTTGGGGAAGCCGTTCTGGTCAATAAATCTAGGAAGCTGCAGAGAGACCGCAGCACACAATTTATTCACTGCACTGTGTTGGACAATGAAAAGTGTTTATGGGAGCAGCTAATCATACCTTTGAGAAGGGCCCGGCAAACCTCCAAAGGCCGTTGAAACCGAAACCTGTGAGACGGAGAGAGAGGTGACAGCAGAGACGGATGACAGAGCAAGAGAGAGATGGAGAGTCAACAGAAAAAAAGGAAATCAGTAAGACATCCGAAGTCGAAGTAACGCAATCGATGAAAAATTTTAATTATATGCATAATCAATTTAATAATAACTAACATCTTATCAATATATGCAAAAAAGAGCTCTTTTTTTAAATAAAAAAATAGTAGCACTAAATTAATACGATAAGTTGACAGCACCACTTTAAAAATTTTATTTTTAGACAATTAAGAAAGCATCTGCCAAGAAATCTGTTAAGAAATGACTGGAGAGATTGGCTTTACTCTGCAAGCAGGATGGCTGGTATTGAGGAGGAGACTCCTCATGATAGACCACATTCTGAATGATGCCGTGGACGGGGTTCAGGAGGTTGGGGTCCTGGCACATGGAAAGGACGGTGCTTAACTTGGAGTCCAGCAGGTTGTGGCTTTAATGGATAAAAATGACACCAGCAAAATTAATGTCAAACTACAAGGCCACAACTAAATATACAACAAACAAAAGATCATTTTCATACATGTTGCAAAAACAAATTAGTGTATAGATTATCTAAGTGGATCTGAAAAGCTTGTTGGTAGGTAGGTGTAGTACAAAACACCACAATCTTCAAATATTTTCTCATGGAACTCTATTTGCTAGTGGATTACTGTTTGAAAATGTGGCTTAATATGTATTACTCTGGCCAAATACACTCAATAGGTATGCGTCACTATGATGATTAGTGATTAGGGAGTAGTATGAATCTGTAGCTGTACATTACAGTAATGACACTTTCCTTATATTTCATCAAGAATGAATCTTAGGAATTAATAAAAACAGGGGCGTGACATTGTTTCCATATCTAGTGTATGCAAAAACACTTCAATTACGCACAAACATGCACCACCATTCAAAGGTTTGGGCTCAGTAAGATTATTTAAAGAAATGAATAGTTTTATTCAGCAAGGACGCATTCAATTCATCAAAGGTGACAGTCATTTGTAGTGTTACAAAAGATTTCCAAATGTCAAATGGTGTTGTTTTGAACTTTTTATTCATGAAATAATCCTAAACAAAATGGTTTCTAAAAAATATTAAGCAGCACAATTGTTTTCAAGACACGATTGCTTTATATATTTATTTTAGGCTTTTATTCAGATATAAACATTGATCAGCTAACACTTACAGCATTCAAATTTGGTCACAGAAGCTCAAGCATGCTTGCTTGACACGATAACCAATGAGGTTCATTCTCACATGTCACACCGACACGTCTGAGCTTCCACAAGAACCAGTGAGGCTTGTTCTCGTGTGTCAGGCAACTATGGTTCTGTTAATGTTCGCCAATCCGTGTTTATATGTGAATAAAAGCCTAAATTAAACCCACTCATCATATAAAGTGATCGTGTCTCTTCAGAAGACTTGGATTAAACATTTTGCAAACGTTTTGGAATGAATATTTTTGAAGCATCAGCGTTTTGGGTGAACAGACTTTTAGTGGAGGGACAGAAATCTCTCAGATTTCATTCAAAATATCTTCATTTGTGTTTCGAAGATGACAAATCTCTTATGGATTTAGAATGACATGAGTGTGAGTTAATGACGACAGAATTTCATTTTGGGGTGAACCCCTTAACTATTTTAAACATTCAATCCTGTTGGATAATTTTACCAACAAAAAAAAAATAATGTTAACACCTCATTTCAGAATCTTTCCATTCAGGTCAACATTTAAACCTGAATCTCATGAAATATTTTTAGCATGAGAAACTATGGGAGACTAAAGGATTTTGACTGACTGTTGGTATGTAATGTTGTAGACACTCACACTACTGGAAAGACCTTGGGGAACACCACACTGGCCTCAGCCAAATACTCGTACAGGATCCGCTGATGAAACTCATCTGTAGTGTACTTCACCAGTGTTGCCTGCAATCAAAAAAAAACAATACTTTGCTATACAACGGTACATACAGTATAAAAACCGTCATAGTTGGAGAAAGAAAATGAATCATCTTTTATTTAACATTTTTGTGCTATACATAAAGAAATTGCAACATAAATAATACATAAAAACTATTTCAAAGGTAATTCCTCCTGCAGGTTCAAGTGCTAAGGAAAGTGGTGTGGAGCACACACCAGTACAGTGAGGAGCAGCGTCTGGATCTTCGGGTCTGTGAGAACGTTCTCGTCCAGGAGGACATTGGACTCAGACACAGAAACTTTGCGTAAATGGGAGTTGGCTATTCTCTGAGTTTCTGGAATAAAGAAGAGGTGTTGGCGATTCAACCGCTCTCATTTCTAAGTCTAATTTTCATTTATTGCACATAGATTAGTACTGGCCTGCAGCATAACACATTTGATTCATAAGTGTAGAAAAACTCACCTATCTCATAGTCATTTTCAGAAACCCGTCTCATCTTTGGAGGCGTGGTGATGCCCGACTCCATGTCTGGTCTCTTCGGGGCTTTTGAGTCCGAAATTAGGTGATCAAAACTCTTTCTAGTACCTAGAATAAAAATAAAATCACTTAAGTATAAGGTTAAAGTAAAGCTACAGCATGTTTAAGAGCCACTTTGAAAGAATGAAGTCATCAGACCGCTTATACCCAGAAGTTTCTTCGCATTGGCCTGCGACGGCTGGCCCATGTCTACACTCATGGATTTGCGTGGGCGAAGGCTGGTCTGCCCCATGGCAGAGTACGGAGGTGCAAGACTGCGCTCTGACACTTTTGGAGAAGCCCAGGGCTGGTTTTCACGCAGCAGCCTGACACATAAAAGAGTGTGAGAATCAACAAGCAAAAAAAAAAAATCAATACCGTGTGGTTGGAAATACAAAAAAAACAGGAAATTCAAACTTGTTTAATGAAAAATTCTCACCTGCATCCAGGCTCTGTGTCGTACACGGAGTATGCATCCATGGGAAAGTTCTCCATGGTAACGTCTGAGAGCAGCAATGACTTCCTGTGCTTTAGGCTGCAGCGGCTCCTCACCTCCTCAGATACTGTGAGCAAAGCTGCAACACAAACATACACTTTAGATATTTCCATCTGAATTTAAATACAAATCTACTTTATGACTGTTTGCTTAAGGTTGTGCTGACTTTAACTTACCTGCCAGATAGGCCACACTCTGCGTGTTCACCTCAAACTTGTCACAGCTGCGGTGTTTTCCCACAAGGCCCAGGAGCGTATGAAGAATACGGACTGTCCTCGCCACAGTGGTGGAAGAGGGATGCCTGTATCCTACAAGAAGAAAAGACAAATATGAGGAACCAGACACACTGATAACCAGCAAATGCTCAATGTGAACAATTATTTACTAGTGTTCTCTTTTCTTTTTATTTAAAAAAAAGCCTTGCTATGTGCACTGCGTTAAGCTAACCGGGACTCGTCACGGCACTTTCATATCATTGCTCTTTTGTTGGTTTGATTGCTTCTATTGTCCTCATTTGTAAGTCGCTATGGATAAAAGCATCTGCTAAATGACTAAATGTAAATGTAAATATTTTTAACCGCTCAATACGTCTGTTTATACAACAGTAATACATAAATTTGTCAACCTAGAATAGTGAATTATTATTATTATTATTATTACTCTTATTATTAATAAATCAGGTTCAACATGGATATTTTATTTATTGATTTACTTGATTATTATTATTATTAATAACCCTCTGAAAACACTGGTCCAGATTAGTTGAGTCAGAAATTTAAGTCAGATTATGACATATAAAAAAAAAGAAAACAAAATAAAATTTGCATTTTGAACCTGATTTATTATTATCCAGCTGAAACATTGGCCCAGATTAGTTTTGAGTCAAATATTTAAGTAAGATTATGACATAAAATGATATGAAATGAAATAAAATAAATAAACGTTGAAACCGATTTTATTATTGTAATTATTTATTTATTATCATCCTCCATCAGAAACAGTCTCTGAAAACACTGGTCCAGATTAGTTGAGTCAGAAATTTAAGTCAGATTATGACATATAAAAAAAAAGAAAACAAAATAAAATTTGCATTTTGAACCTGATTTATTATTATCCAGCTGAAACATTGGCCCAGATTAGTTTTGAGTCAAATATTTAAGTAAGATTATGACATAAAATGATATGAAATGAAATGAAATAAAATAAACGTTGAAACCGATTTTATTATTGTAATTATTTATTTATTATCATCCTCCATCAGAAACAGTGAGCCAGATTAGTTTTAAGTCAAAATAAACAACAATAAAATGCATGTTGACCCTGATTTTTTAAATTTATTATTTATTTGTACAAAGCAGCCAGTAGATATTCTGAATGCAAATATTTATCCTATAGTGTGATCGACTGATCTTTTCATCATTACCTTTGAGTAAGTGCCCCACTAATGCAAAGTTAAAGTTGGAGGCAAAGTTGAGTCCCACAAAATGGTCCATTTGTTTACAATGCCATTCCAGAGGCTTCCGGATCTCCATGAAGACCTCCTCAGGACTCTATAAAGGGGTGAAAATGTTTTTATGAAGATAACTGCTTAGAGTTTTACATTCTACCTTGATATTTTAGCTATCACTAATAATAATAATATCAAGAGTATCAAAACATGTTTTGAGTCTGTGGTTGTCTAAATGTGGATTTTAGTCGTGCACCTTATCATTAAACACCCGGAGGCTGTCCAGTGTGTGCAGGTTCTGCTCCAGAAGGGCGGTACCAGCAGAATAAAGATTCACTTCATCCAACTGAAGTACAGCCACAGCCACCCAGAACAGAGCTTTATGCATGGGAGAGTCCTGCAGATCATTAGACACGCACATACAAAGCTATTAATAAGTCAAGTGTGTAATTTCTGCACCACCACCAAACTGAATTGCAAAGATGTTTTCAAACAGGTTTACCTAAAATATCTCATACACGTATACACAGAGAAGTAAACGAAAACAATTTGACAGTAGTGTTACATCAGAGGTACTAACTGCTGATGTTTTAATAACTGAATCCAGCATACAACATGACTGCACCTGATCGAGGAGAGGCTGTAGTTTTGTGAGAGCGATGACGGTGGCCTCAATGAGAACCTGGCTGTTGTAATTATCCGGCCCCTTTAAGCAGCTCTCCAGCCCCTGTGCAGGAACAGCATTAATCAGACAGAGCGGCGGAGCATGACGCCAGCAAATAGTCTGAGCGAATGACACTACAGCAGTTAGACTAGCACTGCACTGCATTCTGCACAGACCTGAATCACACAAACACACTGCACGCGACCCAAATATTTAAAATTTCCAGGCAAAATATAGTCACAATACTACAAAGGATGTCCATAATCTTGATGTATTTAAACATTAGGCAATTTTTTTAAGAACTGCCTTTTGACTTTCCCATTAACCGATTAAATGCATTTCTCTAAACTTTGCTCAATATTGTATACATTTCCACAGTTATCAAAATAGATTTAAAGGTGTCCAAACAGAATGTTTTTAGATAATTTTATAAAATACATGGGCATTTTAATTTATAGACTACATAATACACTACAATTCAAAAGTTAGAGGTTGGTCTGTTTTTTTTAAGTTTCTAAAAGAAGTCTCGCCAGCATTGCATTTAGTTGATCAAAAACACAACAAAACAGTAATATTGTGAAATACTAATATAACAAAAAATTATTTGAAAAATATTTTTAAATATTATTTAACAATTACAGTATTACTTTTCACTTATTTTCAAATGTAACGTATTAATGTGACCTAATTTATTAAATATACATAAATTACATGCTAATTTTTATAGGTGGCATTTTAAACATTGATTAATAATAGCATTTAATGTGTGTGGAGTGTGGACATACCTCCATGTGCTTGGTATATGATAAGATTGTCCTGGGCAATAACTCAAAAAACAAAAATGTATATGAACTTTAATTCTACCTCAATTAATTTAAAGAATTCTGCTTCCTGCTGACAACCTCAAATTAAATAAAAAAATTGAACTGGACTCTTATTGTGTTCTAAATGGTGCACAGCTATGGTATTTAATGAACGTTATCAAAAATGTCAGAGAAGACCACATTATATCAACACTCCAAAAAAAAACAATTCCAGGCAACTAAAATCAAAACTAAAATTAGGTAGTCTGAGAGAGAAAAACAGACAGAGCTAACCCGATCAATGCTGAGCAGAGGACTGGCTTTACTGAGAATACGAATGATCTGTTTGAGCTGTCCATGAGTCACACGTTTACTGATGCAACCGAACACCACCAGCGCCCGAGGTTGAAGAGATGGGTTATACTGGAATGCAAACCTATCCAAGACAAGAAAGTACAATTAATTATTTACATGTGAATGCACTGTGATTTTCAGTTGTAACTGCTTCACAAAACTCTTATGAAATGTAATGTTTTCAACACACTTTTGTGCCAATTCAGTCCACTGATCCAACCATTTGCATCCGGGAATGTCCCTCATACAGGCCTGGGGAAAAACAGTAATTGGTTAAATAACATGTACATAAAAGACTTCAAGACATAAGTAGTTATGGAACACATCAATGATTCTTTAAAAAGATCAGCACAGTGCTGGAGAGACATAAAATAAAAGATCACCAATACTTTAAAATGAACACTGTGGCTATTCGGCTCACTTTCATAATACATAATGCAGGTAACTAACCTCCATGATCTCCAAAAGAGCCTCTGTAACCGTTTCCAGGGAAGACAGAGCAAAGGTCTCTCTCTCATAAGAGCCGGGGGAGAACGAGCGGTCTCTGTAGCTGGAGCGGAAGGCGATGACCGCCGCAGATTTGACTTTACTGATGCCGAACAGCAGGTAGAACTTGGGCAGGGAGAACTCAGTCAGACTCAGACGCAGCACCTGTTTAGTCTCCTCTGTAGAAACAAAAACCAGAACAGCAGAAAATCAGACAGATCATCTCACGTCAAAACAACCTAATGTCTAGCAAACAATAAATCAGCACTGCTGCATAACAATGTAAGGAGCACATTCCCATGTAGCACATACATGTATAAAGCATATTCATTCAATCAAAAAAAAATTTGCACAAAAATGCCCCTTTTACAGATTTACAGATACAGTACAGATTTTTTATGTATAGATATTATGGACAATACATATTTTTGTTTATTTATTTATTATTCAGGTTTTAAATGGTTAAAAATGCAGGTGTATCTTAGGTGTAACTTTGATATCATGTAGATATATCATATTTGGCATAAGCAGTCCTTAAGCATGAGTTTTTAAAAAATTATTTACTTGTTAAAACATTGCTACATTTTTATATGGAGATAACAATATTATAAAAGCAATATTATGGATAGAGGACTAGCATTTTAGCCTGGAAACAATGGTTAAAACATCTTAATGATGAATTTGTTACAAACACGCAGCTTTTCCCTTCACACAGCGTTAATTGATGGACCGGAGTCATGTGGATTACTCGTGGATTATTGTGATTTTATCAGCTGTTTGGACTCTCATTCTGACGGCACCCATTCACTGGCCTATGGTGAGCAAGTAATGTATCGCTAAATTTCGCCAAATCTGTTCCAATGAAGAAACAGCATAACATAATCTTGGATGGCCTGAGGATGACTACATTTTCAGCAAATTTTCATTTTTAGGTCAACAATTCCTTTAAAGTTTCTGTGAGTTATTTCTCACCGCTGAAGTTGAGCTGTGAGCAGGTGCAGAGCGAGTGAATGATGTTGATAACGAGGCCATGCGTTGACGCTCGGAGTGACAGCGGGCCGGTGGCCACCAGCAGGGTGACGACATGGAACAGGTAGGGCAGATGAGCGGCCACATCCAGAGAGTTGTTGAAGGAAAGCATGAGCATGTAACGGGCATAAAAGACTTCAAGACATAAGTAGTTATGGAACACATCAATGATTCTTTAAAAAGATCAGCACAGTGCTGGAGAGACATAAAATAAAAGATTACCAATACTTTAAAATGAACACTGTGGCTATTCGGCTCACTTTCATAATACATAATGCAGGTAACTAACCTCCATGATCTCCAAAAGAGCCTCTGTAACCGTTTCCAGGGAAGACAGAGCAAAGGTCTCTCTCTCATAAGAGCCGGGGGAGAACGAGCGGTCTCTGTAGCTGGAGCGGAAGGCGATGACCGCCGCAGATTTGACTTTACTGATGCCGAACAGCAGGTAGAACTTGGGCAGGGAGAACTCAGTCAGACTCAGACGCAGCACCTGTTTAGTCTCCTCTGTAGAAACAAAAACCAGAACAGCAGAAAATCAGACAGATCATCTCACGTCAAAACAACCTAATGTCTAGCAAACAATAAATCAGCACTGCTGCATAACAATGTAAGGAGCACATTCCCATGTAGCACATACATGTATAAAGCATATTCATTCAATCAAAAAAAAATTTGCACAAAAATGCCCCTTTTACAGATTTACAGATACAGTACAGATTTTTTATGTATAGATATTATGGACAATACATATTTTTGTTTATTTATTTATTATTCAGGTTTTAAATGGTTAAAAATGCAGGTGTATCTTAGGTGTAACTTTGATATCATGTAGATATATCATATTTGGCATAAGCAGTCCTTAAGCATGAGTTTTAAAAAAATTATTTACTTGTTAAAACATTGCTACATTTTTATATGGAGATAACAATATTATAAAAGCAATATTATGGATAGAGGACTAGCATTTTAGCCTGGAAACAATGGTTAAAACATCTTAATGATGAATTTGTTACAAACACGCAGCTTTTCCCTTCACACAGCGTTAATTGATGGACCGGAGTCATGTGGATTACTCGTGGATTATTGTGATTTTATCAGCTGTTTGGACTCTCATTCTGACGGCACCCATTCACTGGCCTATGGTGAGCAAGTAATGTATCGCTAAATTTCGCCAAATCTGTTCCAATGAAATGGCTATAATTTAACCTAAAACACCTATAGGACATTTACAGACATGTTAACAAGAAATAAAACTGGTTTGATGGATAATTGAATATATTAACACTGTAATATTATAATTTAATATTCTATGATATTAAATAAGAGGTATACGTTTCAACTGAGATAAATTGGATGAAATTATAAATTTCTTGTGATCATCTTGGGATTCAAAATTATTTATAAATAAATAAAATATTTTAATATAAACAAAAAAAAACTATAATTTTTTTTTTATATATATAAAAATGCAAAAGAATTAAACTTTAAAATGTTAAAACTTTAAAATATCACAACTAATTAAAAGTAGCAATTAGCTGCAATAGCATCTGCGCTTACAAAATTACTGCATATTCTGTTATTACAAAAAGCAAAAAGGTTTTTTGGTTTTGGTTCTGTTGCATTTTCCATGCTCTAAATCATTCAATGCACGTCAGCAATGCAACAAGATTTAATATTTTTGTACAACCTAACTGAGATGCTCTGTTACTGTTATCTTAAGAACAGCATCATATTAAATAATATATTAAAAACATAAATTCCTATAATATGGTGACCAGTAAGTGCTTACCTTGCTGGACACCAGCTTGACGTTTCCTGAAGCCAGAGCTACAGCTGTGTCAGCCATCACTTCAGCCTTGATGGATCCCAAACCCCCAGTAGCACTAGTCTTTATGAAGCTATCCAACACCACATCAAGCAGGTCTGTGATCTATAAACGTAAAATGGTGCATTCTGTAAGTGCTGACTTTGAGTTTCTAAGGACATGGCACGAATTACTATAGAAATATGAAGGGGAGTTTGAAGGCATTTGTCATTGTAATGCCTGTTTGAAACTTTTTGGATGGAATAAGCTCACAAAATCAAATTCCTTCAATGAAATTGGGAGAAACTCTACAATAGTTTGAAAGGCCTACCTGACCCAAGCTGCCCCATATCTTCGCCTGTATGGAGGGGTACATCTGCTTCTCATTGATGGTCATAGTAATGAGTTTGTCCAGGATAGCCGTGACACGCTGCCGTTTGGCATCGTCATTGTGTTTACAAAAGCGCACCAAATTACGCAGCCAAGGAGTCATATACTCCAGGCACAGATGCTTCAGCTCAATACCTAAAGCACCCAACAAGAGAGACACATTTTTGTAACAAATGACACAAAAATGGTGCTTTGCAATGACCATTATCTTACTGAAAAAACAACAACACTTATTTTGTATTACACTACTGTTCAAAAGTTTGGGGTCAGTAAGATTTATATTTTTTTATTGTTTTTGAAAGAAGACTCATGCTCACCAAGGCCTCATTTATTGCCTTATTAATTAATATTGTGAAATATTAATTTATTATACTGTAAAATAACTGTTTTCTATTTTAGCATTTTAAAATGTAATTTATTCCGGTGATGACAAAGCTGAATTTTCATCATCATTACTCCAGTATCGAGTGTCACACGATCCTTAAGAAATCAATCTGATATGCTGATTTGGTGCTCAAGAAACATTTTTTATTATTACCAAAGTTGTGCTGCTTAATGTTTTTGTAGAAACAGTGATAAAAAAAATTCAGGATTCTTTGATGAACAAAGTTCAAAAGAACATTATAAAAGTTTTCACGGTCAATTTAAATCAATTTAATGCATCCTTGCTACATAAAAGTATACATTTCTTTTAAAATAATTAAAAAAAAATCCTACTGACAACAACCTTGAACAATAGCACATATGTGGAGAATGATGATTGTTTGTTTGCATGTGAAACTGACTTGACTTGCTGAAGCCAGAGATGCACTCTTCCAGGAACTCCAGAGTGAGGTGGGGCTCGTTAGCTGCTAGCGTTTTGCTAATGGACACAATAAAAAGGGTGTTGTTGGCTGGAATGCACAAGCCAGATGTTTCCAGGAGTTGGCCTTCAATCTTCAGGTTGAAGGTGCAGGTTAAGGCACAAAGGAGATTGTACGCAGCTGACCTGTTGAAGGAGATTTTAGTTAAGAGCAAGTCATTTTCAGAAGCACTAATTTACTTCAACAAATACATCAGAAATTGAAGAGATATTTCATTTTTACATGACAGGTTCTGCCTGGTTCTAACTGTGTTGAACTAAAGACACAAAGGAGCAGTATTAGCAGTTCTAATCAGTTCACCAAAACAAAGACAGAATCCTGCAAAGAAAAGGCTCATTGTCATAACAACAACAGCGGGACGCATTGGGCCATTCACCCAAATCTATCAAGTTGTTAGGCTGAAAAACAGCCTGAGCATGGCCTAAAACACAATCCTCCAAGATGCCAGGCAAAGTGCAATGATTCTCACCTCAGACTGGGGTCAGAGCTTCCCAGGTTGAGGAGGGCGATGTTGAGCAGGGTGCCAGGAACATCTTTAGGCCTGATCTTGGTGTGCTGGGGAATGGAGTCCGGTTGGGAGAGCTCCCAGCGTGTGCGGATGTGGATGATGGACTGAACGATGGCTTCGCACTCCTGGTGCATGAACGTGAGAGGGGTGCCCTGGTTAGCGATGGTCAATGTGAACTGGTTCTCATCCACCAGGCATATCTCCTCGATCTCTGAAGCATAGTATATGTCATTCAGGAAAACGGGCTGTCCCAGTACACGCGTTCGCTCAGCAGAGGTCACCTGAACAGCTGTTGATCCCACCTAGGTTGAATGGGCCAAAAAAGAAAAAAAAAAGTCTAAAACTCTGGGATTTACACTCTGGGTTATAGTACCATATAATAAAAGTTAATATTTAAAAAGACTACTAATTTAAAACACTGTTAAATCTTTAGCAAATCTCAAAATGAATATCCATTTTTATATTGTACAATTCAATGTTGTGATGCCTAAATTAATTTGTATCATTGAAAGATAATGATTTTTAAATGTATATATTTCTATTTTTTATATTTATTTATTTTTATTATTACATTATTTTACAGAGCCTCGCATAAGACATGTGGGAAAAAATATAAATAAAAAATTATATATATACACGTGTGTGTGTTTTTGTGTGTGCGCGCATGCGTGTATCTCTATCGTGAAAACAAATTAAGAATTTGTTCCCTCATTTTAACAAAATATTAAATATTAACTTAGTACAACCTAGCCACTAATTAATACAACTTGGGAACAAATTCCTAATTTGTGGCCACTATTTAACTAAAAAGGGAGATTGAATTAATAAAACTTAATTTGTGGTAATAAATTCTTAATTCTTGGTCAAGATAAATATATTTTTGTCCAAAAGTCATGTGCAAGGCTCCGTATTATTTATTTTATTTACTATATACATTTATTTAGAAAAGTATAGAATGACATGAAAATTCCTATAGGCTTTAATATGGGAGCATCCCTACTAATAAAGTCCAGCATTCAAGTTAAGAAACCGACTAATGTAGAAAATATTGGTACCTAAACTGAGCTCAAAATAACACTTGGGTTGAGTTTTGCACATATCCATAAGCTCTTACCTTGATCGACACCTTTGTGTCCTTGTGCGCCAGTTTCAGGGCATAGCTCCAGCACACTTTCCTGGAAGTTCCTAGTGAGTCTGAAGACCTTGATCAACTGCTTCAGGTGTGTTTACTTAGGGTTGGAGCTAAATTCTACAGGACAGTGGCCCTCCAGGAACAAATTTGGACACCCCACTTTTTGGTCAATTTTCACAGAAGATAGAGCCTGTATAATTTTAAAATTGCATATCTGCTTAAGGTTAGTTTAAGTGCACCAGCATATAGCTGCTTCGAAGCTAATAACTAAAATGTCAATGCTTTTGTCATATTAGTACTTTAAAAAGCAACGTCTACAAGCTAACGTATGGCTAGCTCAGGCATAAAAGCCACAGAATGTCCAGTGGCTCCAACACACTTTCCTGGAAGTTCCTAGTGAGTCTGAAGACCTTGATCAACTGCTTCAGGTGTGTTTACTTAGGGTTGGAGCTAAATTCTACAGGACAGTGGCCCTCCAGGAACAAGTTTGGACACCCCACTTTTTGGTCAATTTTCACAGAAGACAGAGCCTGTATAATTTTAAAATTGCACATCTGCTTAAGGTTAGTTTAAGTGCACCAGCATATAGCTGCTTCGAAGCTAATAACTAAAATGTCAATGCTTTTGTCATATTAGTCCTTTAAAAAGCAACGTCTACAAGCTAACGTATGGCTAGCTCAGGCATAAAAGCCACAGAATGTCCAGTCTTTATTCTTATGCACTTAAATGTGTTTATGAGAAAGAGGGAATGTAACCACAATACCCAGTTTGTGAATGAATTACTGCATTGCCACTGGGAGCATGTCTGAGCTTCAAACTGAGAGGAACTGTCAGACGAACAGACCCAATTGCAGCTCACTCTAAAAATACAAAGTGTTGCAACAACACGGTCTTGTGTCCTTCTTCCTTCAGCTATAAAACAAAAAGGGTAAATGCGAGTTGCAGGACTGCATGCTAATATGTAGCCTTAATATTAATTAACTGTTAATATAATCTCTAATCAAAGCTGCTTTATCCCAAAAAGAAAATGTAAATACTACGACTAGTGAAACAACAGACACTTATTATACATTTACACTCCAAAATTAATGATTCACAAACTTCAGTGGAAAGATGCTGTTTAAACACTGTCAGACTACATTAAAATTATATTTAGTCAGCATTGAGAGAAAAATTAAGCGATTCAAGAACCTTTAACTGAAACAAACATCATGAAAATCATTATACAGCCGGTTCTCGGTTTCCAACCCTAACCCGCTCTGCCTAGGGATCAGAAAACTGAAGTACTACTACTGAGAAAGGTATGAAGTTAGTACAAGTAGTATACTGTGTGTCTTCAGCAGAATGATTAATGCAGGGCCTGTACACCACCTGCAGCAGAAGTGAGAGAGGAAATGTCATAGCTGAGTCAAATTGGGAAACAGACCACAAGACTATTTTCTGCCTTTTGATATATTTTCAACAAAACTCACTTCATCCGTTGAGATTGATCCAGAGTTCGGTGGTTACATGAATGCCATTACCTTTAAACTACTAGTTTGTGGGACGCCAACAACAACATTATTATTATCATCATCCAATTCAGACACCATACATTGGTAAAGCTATAGTCCTTTTTTGTTAGGGTTATGATTAGTGGTCGACCAATATCAGCCGATACCGATATCTTGGAAAGCAGGGTGGCTGATGGCTGATATAAAGCCGATATAATTTTTTTTATTTTAATTTATATTTAAGAAATTTTAAATCATTTGAAAATGGATTAAAAATAATTGTGTAAAATAAACATACTTATACTTTAGAAGACAAAGCATTTTTCACAAATAAATTAATTTTTATTAAAAATCTAATTAAAAAGGAAGTAAACATGGTAACCAACAGGGCACTCGGTATTCTGGGAAGTTTGTGTGAATCATTTCTTTTTTTTTCAAATAAAGCCAAGGTAACACTCATTTTACATACAGCACGCAATGAAAATGACATGAATATGACAGTGGGCAACTGCATAAAGCACAGCATAATTTGAAATCACTAGTTTAAAGTTTGTCGATTACTCGTCTCCAGTGAAGCTGAACTCTCCTCCTGTCTGCTTTCAATTTGCACGAATCGACCGTCACCCAAAGAACACGCGATCATGCAGGATACGAATGCACACTTCACAAGATCTCAACTAGATCTGACTAAGTCTGCAAGGTTTGTGAAATTAAATGTTCATTAGTCATTAGTCATTAGATATAAATGCATGTTTGCTGAATGCTGACGGCAAATGAGAAAGTATTATAATGTTTGCCTTTCTATTACTAATAATATTAAAGCAATCGTAATAATACTTTATTTGTATACATTTTAATTCATTTGTTTAACAGTTGTATCTGATTATTAGATAGACTTATACCCATATTAGACAGAACTGAATGACGACGGCGAACAAGAGGGAGAATGTGAGCAGTGTGCGCTCGGGCACTGCGGCTGCCGTTCTCAGCGCCGTCAAAATAAAAGTCCCGCCTTGAACACATCGACCAAACAGAAAAACGTATCGGCCAATGCCGATATTTGAAAAATGCCAAATATCGGCCTTGACGATATATCGGTCAACCACTAGTTATAAGGTTTTAATTTCCTGACAACATCCAGTTCTACTTGGTACTATTCACTGCTGCAGGCTTTCTGACTGAATAGCTCAAACCCTCACAAAACTTCACTGTGCTGCTATGCAGGTGTTCACACATTTGATTGGTGTTGCTATGCTGCTTCGCTCCACGGCTACATTCACACCTCATTGGTTTTGTGCACTTGCACATTGAGAACACAAGGGGAAAAGAGGTGGGAGCCTAATGGAACATGACAGACCACAGTAACACAAACCATCCCATATTTATATGTATAGATGTATAGTTACATACATATAAAGAGTTGAAATATTAATACATCAAACAGAGTAAATTTCATACAAAATACTCTAAACTAACTAAACTAAAGGGGATACATCAACAAGATGAATTAAATTAATCTGAGAATTTACTCAAAGACCAATACTAAAATCTTCAGGAATGAAATTTAAAAACCTCAATCTAGAGCACAACAACAAAAACAGCTGTCACCTAAATGAGGACATGGCCGTAGAGGCACTTTAAACCACGTCGCCCTGTCTTCTGCATTTAGCTGCGTCACACACATATTAATTCAGCACCAAACGTTACCGTCGAAATGGAGCCGGGGTTCATTCATCAAAGCACTGGGCTGTCTCAGTAATGGGATATTTAAATATAGCATGTACACAGATCATGACATGCTACAGGAGAACAAAATGTGTGAGTATGAGAGAGATTGAGAGAGAAAAATCAGGGAGATGATTCGTTGGCGTGTGCAGATCCGGAATATAAAACAGTGAAGTCAGCATCCACCCCCCGCCCCCAAATCATCAGCAGCATGGGTCGACTCTGTGCTGCAATTTGCCACCTCCCCCTTCCCCACCATCCGATGATCATTCATCTCCCTCCATTGGTCCCTCCTTTCTCTCTCGACCTCCTCTCACAGACATCCCTGATGCAAGTGCTGTAAGCAGGCAGCCAGCAGCAGCGGAGGCTATCCAGGGGTGCAAACGCTCCGGATAACCATGCCTGGCAGAACGGAAAGGCAGGGAAACGGCTAAGAGAGGCTCTAAACCAAAGTAACTCTCAGCTGCCAATGAGAGGAAAAGGAGGGGGTGGGTAGAAGAAGGGGAGCGAGAGCAAGAGCAAACACGGACAGAAGAGAAGACAGTGAAGACAAAACGTGGACCCTGCTGTCACACAAGACTGGGAAAACATATAAAACACAAAGCAACCTAAATCACTTTCTGCTGCTCTAGAAAAAGGGGGAACAGGAAAAGAGAGGTCAGAACGGACAACGACATGTTCACAAAGTAATGGAAAGGTAAGCAATACATGGCATTCAGACAAGAATAAGGAGCGTTTAACTCACACAAATAGGTTTATTAAATATGCTCAATCATAAAATCCAGAGAGATGTTAGATCCCAGCGAGTCTGCAGTAGAGCGTTTTTACTCGTTTTTTTTTTTATTATAAAAACAGGGACACCTCAATCAGAGCAGAAGATACTTTCCCTTATATACATTTCTGGCATGTGCGCACACTTTTTCCTAAGGCAAACATTAGGTTTTAGACTGTTCCTGCAAACACTGAACTTCAGATTGCTCTAATGGACTTACTAATTGATTTACTGAGGTAATACTAATGATTTGGCTTTAATATCATATTTAATATTTCCTGCATACTGACGTGGCAACCCAGCACACATGAAACTTTCTAGAACCGAGTGTGATATGATGTGCACAAGCACAAAGGTACTGTGCAAAGCTGTCCCCAACTGCCCCACAAATGAGGGTGGGGGTTCAGGATGTAGCCACTGCTACCAAGGCTAAATGCTAACATCTCACTGCTGCAGTATGGCAGGGTAGCTCCTGGCAGAGGCTCAAACTATTAGCACAGAGCCACTGAGAGAGAGAACTGAGCGGCTCAGTATGGGTGGTAACAGTGAGACCTGTTGTTAACCGTGCAATGGAGAGACAATGCTCAATAAATGAAAATGTCCTTGTGTCATGCTGTCCGTACCTTGTTGATGCGATATACTGTGTGAATCAGGAGTGTGGGAAGAATCACCAAAATAAAGGGAGACATTAAGGCAAGAGTTTTTGAAACGGCTGCTTATTTCCCAAAAAATAAGGTGTAATGGGTATGTCCTCCAAAAGTGGGGTGGGGTGAGGGGTGAGGTAAGGGTGGTCTTTCTTCTAAAGAGTTCAAATGATTGCTACATCTCTCTGAGAAACTTTATAAGACCTAGCTATAAAGACAAGGTTGACAGAAACATAAGAACAATACTTAGTGTACACTAATACTTAGTAAGATACACTGCAAAATGGTAAATGATAATCATGTTTAAGATTTGTAAAAATTCCCTGGAAGATGAACTGACTTGTTTTATACAGTCATTAGTAGAAGGGCAGAGTGCCAACTCCTACTGGGAGTCTATCCTTCTACTAATCTCCATGATAAAGCTTTGGTGTATCTAAATAGCTTGGATGCTAATAAATTTCCCTTGGATAAAAGCAAAATCTAAAGAACAAGTTTATGACAAGTTTTCCTTTTTACAGGAAAGCCCACACCACACCTGCCTCCATGCCGACTAACCTGTTGCTCCTTCTTCTGTTCGGGGTGCGTGTGCTGGCCATTTGCCCGCCAATGTGCACCTGTAGCAGAGGCCATAGAGTGGTGGACTGCTCTGCACGAGGGTTAGCTATACTTCCTGACAGCCTGCAGCACAACATTCATTTCCTCAACTTGTCGCATAACCGACTCCAAGATCTCGATGGACTCCTCAACCATTTTGACCACTTAAGAACTCTGGACATCTCCTATAACCATCTGCACCATCTTCCTGTTGGTCTGCCAAGAGCGCTTTGGGATATACGTGCCTCTGGAAACTACATCCGTCAATTGGAGAAGAACAATACGGCCTACCACTGGAACCTTCAGAAACTGGACTTGTCACTCAACTTGCTGGAACGTGTGGTCTTCATTAACAATACGTTGTCCAATCTCCAAGCTCTCAACCTTAGTCATAACACATTCTGGACTGTCCCAACGAACATGCCCCACAATTTGGAGATGGTGGACCTCTCTCACAACTACTTGCTGCAGATCTTGCCTGGCTCACTGGATCGCCTTCCCAAACTGTCGATATTCTACCTGCATGCTAATCACTTTACCTCGTTGAGCGATGGTGTCTTCGGTCGACTGGATGGACTGCAGCTCCTCACACTTGGAGACAACCCTTGGGCTTGTGAGGAAGAGGAGAATATAAACCATCTGCTGACTTGGATGCAACAGACCCCTGCAAAAATCTTGGGCTGTCCATGCTACACCAGACCCACATGTGGAGAAGCTCACCTGGCCACTAGGAGAACCTGGCACTCAGCCGCATTCACAGAGCTGCCGCTGGGTGCCGACGCTCGTCATCCTGGCCACCGAGCACCAATGCAGGCAGTTACATCTGGGTACCTGTCCAAGTCAGCCCAGTTGAACGTGGGTCAATTTCCAAGCGCTGTTAATACCTCTGAGCCAGGCGAGCAGGTACTGATTATGGGTGGGGGATTTCTCACATCAACTCCACATAGCCTGTCCACACAGTCAAGCACAACAATTCGAACACGCAGCACCAAGAAGGTCCTTCCAGGCAGAGCTCGCAGCACAAGCCATCAAATCCACATATGCAGCTTTGAAACCACCATTTTGAGCCTTTTATGTACAGTTGTCATCTTCAGTACTTGGTGATTCTGCATAACAATCTCTTGAACTAGACCTGCTGTCTTGAGCCTGAAAACAAAAAATCCACAAAGAATGCAAAACGAGAGACTTACCTCTTAGGTTTCTATTTTCACATTGTTCTGTCTACCTTCTTGAGAATTTTTCAACATAT